TTACAAATAAAATATTAGTAAATTTACATAATATACAAAATATACATAAAGTTTGAACAGATGAAAAAAAAAAAATTATTTTAAACGTATTTCACATTTTCGATTGGAAAGAGAATATGTTTTGCAAAAATTGTAAACGTAGGTGACGCTTAAAAATTGAAAACGTTTTTTCTGCTCACAGTCTAGTTCGAATTGTGTTTCGCATGACAGTAAGAGATACAGAAATCTTTATCAGCTATGGAACAAAGAGAAGCGCTTAAAGTGATCGGGTTTATACAAAGTAACTTGCACCAGAATTCATCGGAATGTAGGATAATTAGTCACACGAAGAGATTGTATGAATACACGGATCGGTGAAAACATTTACCAAATTTATCACATAGATCAATATCTATGTTGCTATTGTGAATTAAACAACTCAGGGATACTATGTAATTTGCCTGCTTACGCAACTATGGAAAATATAATGCAACAGTCCATGCAAGATGAGGCTGGAATATTTTATGTATCTTCTTGAATATGTTAAAGTCACTTTATATACGCATGCGTTGCTGCCATTTACTTAGTTCATAATTAAAAATAGAGCTGTAAACTATTCGCTTCCATATACATAGAGATGGACCAGTTCCGCAAGACATAAACTGTGTTAAATTGTCAGATAAATTGTATTTGTAGAGTAAATCAACACAATCTGTGTAAAATCTGATGCACAATGGTTGTTCCGTTGATTAACATACTTTACATACAAGAATACGAAATGATATTGCCCTGTGATGGACAGATTGGAAATCAATTTGCTACTATGCTGATACTGGAGCAAATATAATAACTATTTATTATATTAGGCAAAATACGTGTTCACAAAAGTAATTTTAGTAAACTGCAAAGGTTCGATAAACAATCATTTATGTATGCTAGATGCTCCAGTTCTCTTGAACTCCCTACCCAAAGAATTTGGATGGTGCTGAAATTTCAATCAATTTAAGACCATGATCTCGTGCTGGAGTAGTAAAGCATTTTCCTATGTTGCCTGCAGATATTAAAAACACTTTCACCAATACATGTACAATGCAGCAGCATACCCAAATAAAATATTTTCTTTCTTTCTTTGTATATTTTCTATTTTATTTTGCCTCTAAAGTTTTGCTTATTTTAAGTGTTGATAGTTTTCAGTTGCAATATTATGTGCTTGCCTTATTTGATTTTATTATGTTTTTATGCTAAACTACTACATTGTATATGACAATTGTGTATGTGTAAACTATTGTACATGTTGCATGTCATGTGCTGTCCTATTGTACCTGTTCGTACTGTATATAATATGCATGTCTTCAATTTTTTATCTTGACATGTCGGTTCAAAAGCTCCCTTTGACATTGTTATTTAAGGATGTACACCTCTGAGGAGCCAAAAATTTCTTGAATTAAACTTTTTTTCTTAACATGATTTTTGGGTTTATATGATTGTAAAAAAAAATGGTGAAGAAAAAATCATATGGTGGTGCACTTCTTTTTTTGCTACGGCCCCTTGAAAGTACGCAATTTTGATGATTTTCCCATTTTTCATCAATTTTACCCATTTTGGGGCTATTATCGTGAAAAAAAAATTACAGTTCCACAATTAAACTTTTTTCATACTTCCAATAAAGATGAAATGGACCAATCTGAATAAATTTAACTAAAAAAAACTATAGGTAGGTGTTAATATAAGAAAGTTTTATCATATTTTGAAGCTTTTTCGAGTAAAATTTACTATGCTGTCAATTAATTTTGTAAATTTTGGATTTTTCTCCGTTTTAAGAACAAAATGCATATTATTTCAAGTTCTTTGTTATAAATGATCGACAAAAATACATATCTAAGACATTTGAAAAGAAAAAAGTGATATGGGATGTACATGTTTCTGGTAAAATCATTTCTTGTACCCACCTAACCCCTCCCTCCATTTTCGCAAAATTTGGGCTAAAGAGGCTGACTTGATTGGTAATAAAATTTGAAAAATTATTTACACAAAAACTACTTAATGTAAATACACAATTTTTTCACAGAGTTAAGTTTGATTATTAAATTTTTTTAAAATTCATTGATATTTTCCACTTGTATCACATGTTTTGGAAATAATTCCAGAACGAGATTTCAACGAGACTGAAACGTCAGAAGAATACATCCTTAACATGCCGACGTAAAATAAAACATAACTGAATCAGAAACACAACATATACACCGAATATAGTTGAGATTTTGATTGTAGTATCTGAACATTGGACCTAATCATGAAAACGTAATGCTGATCACTGAACCATGGTTTGAAGTAAAGATCCCGTCCTGATGATAACAGAAACAAATTTCGAAAAGGACGGACGGACAGACAGTGAGGGACGGCCAAATCTTAATGCCCTCTTAACCTTTACCAACGGTGGTTGCATGAACATTAATTGTAGATATAATAACCTAAGTTCTCCATAATAAATATGTATATAGTATTTAGATGTCTTTACTTTGAACATATTTGACGATGTTCCATTTATAAGAACACAAAGAGCGCAATCCAACGTTTTTCATAACACACATATTTAAAGATAACCTTGGTATTGTATCAATTCATTTTGAAACGTCACAAAGAATTGCGTCATACTGTTTGTTTGCAACAAGTAACTTGCTATTTTTTCGATCGAAGCACACGGATTGTGGGTTAAAAAGGCCATCGTTCTTTGACAGCAACACTCTGTGTGTGTTTCCATCTGGTGAAATTACAACGACATTGTGAAATTTATTACCCGATACGTAAACACGTCCGTAATTGTCCACAGTAATACCTCGTGCTGTCTGGAGAAATGATTTATTTTTAAATTTCCATTTAATTCCTCCTTGAAGATCACAGCATGTAACTGAATCATCATTGTTTATAAAATAAAGATTATCTGACCATATCGCAATGCTGCTATATTCAGACAATGGACCGTTAACTAACTGGGATACAGAGTTGTTATCTAAATTTACAACACATAATCCACAGCTACCTCCATTATAGAACAATTTCCCATTTTTGTGAACAATTCCATAATTCTCTGATCCAACATTAATCGAATACTCTGTTTTTCTTTTTTTCATATCAATAATCTGAATGTATATGTTGTAACACCCAGTTGTTACGAAAAGTTTTTGGCTTTCCTCAATAAAGTGGATATGAGATGTACAAACTCCTTGCTGCAATGTAAAATCCAAAGTGCCGTTGTTTTTGATTACGGTAATTTGGCCACTATCATAACAGGAAAACATCATTCTGCCATCAGGAAGTAAGCAGCAACCTGTGACATCACTCCTTTTTGTTTTCACGGTCTGTTTTATAGTAAGTCTAACATCATCAAAAGTAGGAACATGTGTAATAGGCACCATTATCTGTGCTTGTTTGTGCTTCCTGTTTGTTAATGATGCATCTCCTGACCGAGTAAACAAGATCATAATGTTTCCTATATTCTTCATCGTGGTAGGTAGAATCTCAAAAGATTTTTCGTTTTTCCAAGACATGGATACATGGTTCATTTTCTCTTCTTTTATTAAAGATTCAATAAATTGTTCATTGTTCGTGACATCTCGTTGGATATGTTTCAAAGCTAAGAATGACTGCAGGTCGGAATCATATTGTTTTATTCTATCGAAATTAGTTTGGCTTTCTGAAATCTTTCTTTCTTTCTCTTGTATGAATGATATTATGTTTTTGATTTTTGTGCTTTCCTTTTTCTCAGCGGCATACAACTCTTTTATCAGACTTTCCTGCAACTTATCCAGATGGTTGTCAATTAACATTCGTGTCTGCTGAATTTCATTTTCTATTGTTGCACTATCCTACACCAGACTTTTATGTTTTCTTGCCGATCTTTTCTTATTCTCTGAAAAATTTCTGAAAGTTCTGCGAGCATTTGTTCTAGTTCCAAGAATGCGTTTGATGATTTTACATTCCGAATGACGTCATCTATTACATCTATCTCTTTGCAGTCGTTATGGGTTTCAGTAACGCATCGTCTACAACATGGACAATCATGCTTTCTACAAAATATGACGTATTTTTCATCGTGTCTTAGATACATGATTTCTTTTTAATTGGTTGTTATTGGCTTTGAACTAACTGCCAGTAACTTCGACTACTCTCAGATCTGTACTTAAGAGTCTTTTTGTTGTTGGGATGGATGTATAAGTACCCGTCCTCGTCGACTTTGTGTTTTTGTTAGATGTGTTTCTTTTTGTATCCATTTGATGTGTTAAGCCTTTATCAACTGATTTTGATAGTTCGTTCTTATGTTGTACTGTTACACCACTGTCCCAGTTTAGGAGGAGGGTTGAACGCTGACAAAAATGTTTAACCCCGCAAAATTCTTTATGGGCCTATCCCAAGTCAGTAGCCTGTAGTTCAGTGGTTGTCGTTGGTTCATGCCTGTCATATTTGTTTTTCGTAAATTGTTTTGTTATAAATAAGGCCGTTAGTTTTCTGAATTGAATTGTTTCATATCGGGCCTTTTAATAGCCGACCATATGGTATGGGTTTTTCTAATTATTGAAGGCCGTACGGTTGCCTATAATTGCTTACATCCACTTCATTTGAACTTTAATGGATAGTTGTCTCATTGGCAAACTTACCACATCTCCTGATTTTTATATTGTGTATAAGATTCAGAACATTAATTTGGTTGTGGCAAAGTAATTATAAAGAAAGAGTGCGGAGTTCTATTTTTTTTAAGGGACATAGCTCAAGAACAGTAAAAGTGACGCCCAAATTAGAAATTGATCTGTGTTTGGTGGTAATAAGCGTTGTGTCTCAGTTTTATAACATTTAGTTGAGGCAAACGAAAGTTAATGAACAGAAACGAATTTTCGGACGTTCACGAACTTATAGACGGCTGTACAGACAGACTAGGGTAACACTAAATGCCCCCTTCGCCTGGCATTGGTGGCATAAAAAATAATTGAAGCGACAATAACCGAAATAGTTACATAATAAGTGTGTATAGTATTTGAATGCCTTTACTTCGAACTCATTTGTAGATATTTCATCTATAAGTACACAAAGAGCATATATATTACTGTTAAGCTCATCTCAGGGATATGGTATCAATTCATTTTGAAACGTCATAGAGAAATGCGTCATTCCCTTGGTTCGCAATAAGTAACTTGTTACTTCTTTGATCGAAGAACACAGCTGTTGGTTTTCTAAGACCATTTATCGTTGCCAACAACAACCTGGTTTCTTTTCCATCTGGTGAAATTACGACGATACTGTTAGATTCTTTATCCGATACGTAAACACGTCCGTAATTGTCCACTGTAATACCTCGTGCCGTCTGGAGAATTCCTTTCTTTTCAAATTTCCATTGAATTCCTCCTTGAAGATCATTGCATGTTACTGAATCATTGTTAATAAAATTAAGATTATTTGACCATATTGCAATACTGCTATATAAAGACAATGGACCTTTAACTAACTGGGTTACAGCGTTGTTATCTAAATGTACAACACGCAATCCACAACAACCTCCATTATAGAACAATTTTCCATCTTTGTGAGCTATTCCATATGTCTCTGATCCAACACTAATCGATTTCTCCGTTTTTCTGCTCTTCATATCAATAATCTTAATACCTGAGCTATAATTCCCAGATGTTACGACAAGTTTTTGACTTTCCTCTATAAAGTGTATATGAGATGTCGTAAATCCTGGCTGTAATGTAAAATCCAAAGTCCCGTCGATTTTGAGGACGTAAATTTTTTTATTTGTATAGCAGGACAAAATCATTCTGCCATCAGGAAGTAAGCAGCAACTAGTGACATCGTTTGTAAGTGCTTTCACGGTCTGTCTTAAAGTCAGTTTTAAATCATTAATGTTAGGAACAGGTGTAATAGGCACCATTATCTGTGCTTGTTTGTTCTTCCTGTTTGTCAATGTTGCATCTCCTGATCTGGTATCCAATATAATAATTGTTCCCATCTTCTTGACTGTGGTAAATAAAATCTCCACAGACTTTTCTTTTTTCCAAGACATGGATACATAATTCATTTTCTCTTCTTTTATTAAAGATTCAATAAATTGTTCATTGTTCGTGACATCTCGTTGGATATGTTTCAAAGCTAAGAATGTCTGCAGGTCTGAAGCATGCTGTTTAATTTTACCTAAAGTAGTTTGGGTTTCTAAAATCTTTCTCTCGTTTTCTTGTATTGATGATATTATGTTTTTAATTTTTGTGCTCTCCTTTTCCTCCACGTCGTACAGCTCTTTTATCAGACTTTCCTGCAGCTTATCCAGATGATTGTTAATCAAGCTTCGTGTCTGCTGAATTTCATTTTCTATTTTTGCCCTATTTTCTATCAAACTTTTAATGTTTTCTTGCCGATCTTTTCTTATTCTCTGCAAATTTCCTGAAAGTTCTGCGAGCATTTGTTCTATGTCCAAGAATGCGTTTGATGATTTTACATTTCGAATGACGTCATCTATTGCGTCTATCTCTTTACAATCGTTATGTGTTTCAACAACACATCGTCTACAACATGGACAATCATGCTTCCTACAAAATATGACGTATTTTTCATCGTGTTTTGGACATATTTGATTAATTTCTAATATATTTGAAGGAAGCTTCTGGTACTGGGAAACTGGAATAATACTATGGTTCCTTGACCCTTTTGAAGCTGCATGATGCTCTTTACATTCCTCACAAAGTCCCTCGTCGCATTCCAAACACCAGACCACTGATGGTTTGTTGATTTTACGGTATTCACACACTCCACAAACAGTTAATTTACTCGACATACTATAAAATAGAAAATTATAAAGTTTGCTTTTATTTACAATTTTTCTAGTACTGTCAACGATTTGAAAAAAAAGCGTAAGTAGATAAATATAAAATTAGAAGTACAAAAGCTATGTTAATAAATCAGTAACATTAAGGTTTCACATAAAACTGTACTTTTTCTAGTCCTATGCTTTAGATACTAATACTTATGATGCAAATAGGCATTAATCCGTATTAGCACGGAATAGAACTGATGACGGATCAAGGATAAGCACACATCATGTACCTGTAGAAGCAAGAGAGCAATAAATAAAAAGTAAAAGGGCATAATGCAATGATTGACGGGGGTATGGAAATATGGTCATTCTCGGACTTCCTACCCGGTCCAGCAGTAAAATCCTTGCTAAAATGTCGAAAGCCCGCTTGGCTGTGCAGGATGTGTAAATTACGCTATAACTTCAAGTCTGAAGAGAAGTTATATCCGATGACTTAGTCACTTATGTAGGATGCGTGTCATGTTCCCTGCCCATTGAAAAACTCGTGCATTGTTGAAGGGCAAAAGTTATATTATCCTTCAATCCAACATCCAAAGCATCATTCTCTAGTGGCAGTGTTAATGTCCTGCCCTTTATCGATCGCAGTCGGCCGACCTTGCAGAACCTAGCTTTTGTATGCTCCTTTATTGTTAATCTATTTTCGTCCTGAACATGAATGAAATATTTGACACTGGAAGTTAACCAATTTACCATCAATCAACCAATCATGTTAATATATTTGCTACCGGATGTTAAGCTAGCAATAGTCAATCAGTAGATTAAACTCAAATATGTAATAAATTCATGGCTTGGTAGGTTGTTTTGCGTCTTTGTCTCGCATATTTGTAACACGAAATGAAAGCGGGAGAAGATACAAAGAGTTCAATCAGTTTAATACATTTTTTTATTTTTATTAGCGATTATATCATGTAAATATTAATCTCTCCAATTTAAGACTTAAATATTTTCTAGGTTCTAAGTTTGGTCTAAACTCGAGAGTACAATTTGTGATGTAAACACGTCCTTATTTAAGAATTATTTATGATTAACATTATATATACACTGATCAATAAATGCGAAATGAAAACGAAAGTAAAATTTTAAATCTTTGATCTTTTGAATTGCACTCTTATATAAAATTTAGAAAAAATCATTATTAAATGCAATATGTTAGAAACGAATCAATTAGATATCAAGAATGTCGTTCCAAGTGTTACAAACATAGGTATACCTTAGATAAAGAAAATGTCGATCCGCTCAGACAAATCAGGTATGTTGTTCACGTGACCAATACGTACTTCCCTATGAGTATAATATCGCGGTTAAATATGAAAATATAAGTTTATTCGTAATAGTTCTCTCAGTCGTCTGTTACCAGTAAAATTTGTAAAGTTTTTGCTTATATTTCATAGGAACTATTGGCCGAACCCGTCATTGTGGGCGTATATTTTTGTTTTAATTTAAATTACTATAATATTTGACCGTATTCCATGATAGTAGTATATACGGGTTGCCCGACAATTCTTATGAACGATCTGACATCTGCTTCTGGAGCAACTGCTATTATATGTAGGTACGTGTTTCTCGATACTCCCATGTAAATTATGCCATGCTACATTTACTCGACCCGTAATAGAAAAGCTATTATAAAGTTATATTGCCCACGCCAAAAAAATGAATCAATTATATATACACAATTGAAAGCAAAGTTTCATTGGGTTAATAACTTTTTGTTTGACATGTGTACAATTGTTTGTCATGCAGTAACAAATATGGAAAGGTTTTATGTGTCCATTCATAAGTATGGAAACAAAGTAATGTATTAAGTGTGTACTTTGTTTTTTAACTGTATGTTTATGTGGGCAATAATATCAATACAATACAATACAATACAAAGTCTTTTATTGTCAATTATGACGCCCAATAAATTGAGCAGTACAATCAAGTTAAATTTCATACAAGTGATTACATATTGATTACATTGATTATTTAACAATTAAACAAAATCAATTCTCTCTGAGCAGAACAATTTCTACAGAAATAATATAAAGTTGTACATGTTGTATGATATAATATAGATGGACAAAATACCGGTGACTAAACTGTATCTATATTTTATAGAGAATTAAATTTCTCTCTTTATATAAAGTACACAATAATAAACTTACGTTTTTAATGATAACATTATCCTCAGATGACATTAACCATATTAATTTTGATTTATTTGGGAGGCTTTAAAAGTTTTTCTTAACCTTATTTAAGTAATTTATATAATCAGATCTTTTATTTTCTAAAACGGGACACTGAAGAAGAAAATGAATTTCATCTTCAACTTCAGTGTTGCATAATTTACACATTCTATCCTCCACTCGAGGCCCTGCATATCTGTCTCTTTCAATTTTCAATTCATGTGCACTGACTCTGAACTTAGTGAGCATTCGCCGTTCATCCTCATTTAAAATTAATAACTATTTTTCCATACAAATATTTTCTTTAAATTATCTGTGAGATCTTAATTTATTTCCATGCTGTTTATTATGTCTATCATTGAAAAATTCTGATCTCCAAATACAAGAATATTTCTGTTTTAATTTCCGGTAAATTAATGATTTTAAATCCATCTTTGAATTTTTAACAATTTTATATCTTTATCAAGATAATTCATTAGATTATCAACTAAACTATACCAACTTTTTTTGTTTAAGCTATTTAGTGAACTAGAGACAGTCAGAGCTTCAGAGAGAAGGATATCATCAGACTTTAATATATATTTATAATATCTAAACATATTTAAAATTACTTCAAGAAATAAGGGATATCTTCCCATTTCACCCAATACAGCTATATTTGTAGATTTTTTGCCTAATCCCATAGAAAATTTACAGAATTTGACATGAATACTTTCTTGTTTCATGTCCTTGCATAGTTTAAATTATATTATGTTCATTTTTATTTAGTTTATTTATCACTGAAGCTCCCCATATTTCACTCCCATGTACATGATGTAGCAACACAGGTTTCACAGTCTGATCAAATATATGTGAAAGTGTGTTAATTTTAGGTTTAAATAAGTTAAAACTTTTTTTATGTTTGAATAAAGCTTTCAATCCCCTTTTATATAAATCTTCTCTAGCCTCTGTAAGGCTTCCACTTGCACTTACATAAATTCCTAAATATTTATAACCCCTAGCCCTTTCAATGGGTACATTATTAACATTAAATTTTTTTTTCATACAGTTTTCCTGTTTTATTAAATACTACTGATTTAGTTTTCCTTATATTTATTTGGAGCCCCCATTTATCACAGTAGTTATATAGTTTATCAATACACTTCTGTAAACCATCAGCTGTTTCTGCCACATCAATACTAAGTCATCTGCATACAATAAGCAATTAAGCTGTTAGGAATTTAAAATAGCAGGTTAACAGGTCTCATCAAATGAGTCAAGAATATCATTTATGAAATTTTTAAATAAAGTGGGACTTAAATTATCCCCTTGTTTAACTCCTATGTTAGATGTAAAGTTTTCAGTCATAGAGTATTTGTCTACCTTTACACAAAGTTCAATATTATTTTACATATCTTTTAGAGTGTTATAAGATAAATCACTGACTCCACTATTTCTCAGTCTATAAAAAAAAGTCCATCATGACTAACAGTGTCAAAGGCTCTTAGTAGGTCAACAAAGCATGTAAAGAATTTTGTATCGCCTTGTTGAGTATACTTTTCTATAAGAGTTCTCAAAACTAAATGATGATCACTGGTGCGCTTGCCTTTACAGAAACCAATTTGTTCAGGTTTAATAATATTTCTACTTGCCAAAAACTTCTCTAAACGAATATTTAAAATTTTTAAAAATAACTTGCCTAAACAACTGCCAATGGTAATTCCTCTATAATTTGAAGGGTCGTCTTTTAAGCCACTTTTAAATAAAGGAACTATATATCCTTTTGCCCAAAGTTTGGGAAAATTTCCTAAGTTTAAGATACTATCAAACAATTTTTGAAAACAAGGAACTAAGTATATTTGACTGGACTTTTACATTTCATTTAAAATTGAGTCAAAAGCACTCGCTTTTTTATTTTTTAGTGTACTAATCGCCTTTTCTATTTCTTTTTTTGAAATCAAATTATCAAGTTCAGTAAATATTTTTTCTTTTTTCATATCTTTTTGCTTATCTTTTAAATTATCACAGGATGTATTGGTCTCTTTTTCATTTAAATTTTTAAAATAAGAAAACCAAGCATCTGTTGACACATCAGATGTGGAATTCTCCCTATTTGTATTTGATAACTCATTAGGCAGTGCCCAATATTGACTTGGATTTTCGTTTTTTAAATTATCTAATTTATCTATTAAATCTTGTCGAAAATCCCTTATTTTTTTCTTCCTTGTTTTTCTGTAGTGTTTTAAAAGACTGAAAAAGGATGACCTTATTACTGGATCAAAGGGATATTTTTGTAAAAATTTGTCTTTATCATTTCGGTTATTTTTTAGTTTAAATAGGGAAGCATCTAACCAATTGGGTTTTTTCTTTACATTTTGTTTGAACTTGCTTGTTGATTTTTTAGTAGGCTTTTGTTTTAGTGATAAATTTCCAGCTTCATAGAATATAGTACTAACATCTTTAACATATTATTAATATCAGAATGGTAATCAGTTTTATTAAAATTCAAATTTTTTTTTTGTTGCATACTACCTGAAGATAAAGCTTCATGAAATAATTCAGTAGATTTTTCATTCCATTTATAACTTTTAAGAGACATCTGAGTGTGACATGTATCGCCTTTTATTTTACACTGTATGTTCAATAACACGGAAATCTGACAATGATCAGAGAGATCACCCAATAAGTTATGGACTTTAAAAAAACATATCTTTGATAATAATTTTTCTGATACAATAAAATAATTTATCTTACCTCCTATACATTTCTAGGAATATGATTGGTTAAAAGCGTCCGCGTGGAGACCGTGTATATTCCATATTAGGTTAGTAGGGTGCCGGGGCTTATTTCATACACGGTTAGTAGTGGTGTTACGTCCCTTTATAAAAACAAATCGGTACTGAGAAAAATCTTAAAGGTTTCAACAAACAAAGAAATTGGTGATGAAGATTGAAATAAATTCATAAAACACATTTAAACCTAACAAGTTGTTATTGTTGGCATCTGTTTTGTAGGATCAATGGAAGTAGTTTCTTAATGCTAACGGTATTGATGACTTGCTAATTTTGATAGGTCACTAGTCTAAAATTCACACGTTAAGATAGTCGGTAAGATAAATTCGTTACATAGTGTTCTAGTGACGTAATACGGTATATATGGGGTCAGTAAATTCCTTATGGGGATTCGAGCTTCGCTCTCACCCCATATGGAATTTACTGACCCCATATATACCGTATTAGGTCACTAGCACACTATGTAACTAATACTACAACACTACACCCATTTGGAGTATAACATGTTAATTGGCCGATAGAGTATCCGGTAATTCGTCCATTCAAAATTCTTAGACCTGTTTCAATACAGATATCAATGAAATATTTACCCCTAGATGAGATAGTTTCATCCATACTAAAACGTACAGGTACATTTATATCTTGATCAAAGTTATTAAAAATCTGGTTTACACCATTTCTATTATTCCCTTCAATAATATCTGGTTGTTTAGTACCTGTTCTAGAATTCAAATCTCCTGCTAAAATTATACTTCCACTTTTTGAATATTTCTCAATATCTGTTTCCAAAAGGTCAAAAATGTCCACATCTAGAGATTGTGTGTAAGAAGAATTAGAGGGTGGATTATAAATGAAACAAAGATATATATCCACAGTTGTGCTGAAAAATGTGCTACAAAGTTTTAACCATATGTAATCATTAGTTTTGTGTTCTAAAAATTTAACCCCAGCTTTCAAGTTTGATTTTACAAAAACTGAAATTTCTACCGATATTTTATTTGACTTTTTGGATTTTGCTCTTGATAAATGAACTGAATTTAACACATCAATAACTAATGATTCCTCCTGGGTACAATGTGTCTCCAATAAACAAATAATATCCTTTGTTTCTATTTCACTTAATAATCTCGAGTCCTTATATTTATTGTACCCTTTACTATTAAAACCATTTATGTTCCAGCAACTAATATGTAATTTCGATTTCTTTGTGAATAAACACATTTTATATATATGACACCAAGTTTTTATACTATGTACAAAGTAAATTATATACCAATGACTAACACGAACAATTACAATTATATTACGTGTAATAAGAAAGATAACTCTTGTAAT